AAAAAAGGGTTGTACCCATCTGCGCGCGCAGTTTATATGGACAAGTCCGAATCAAATATGTATGTTCATATGGAATATGCTTTATGTCAATACATTTTCCATAAATTACTTTCATCCAAAGGCTCGAAGCAGCAACAAAATTTATCATAGCATAATATTTAAAGTACAATTTTTTTTTTGTAAAGATGGTATAGGATTTTGAGTTGTAAGCAAAATGCTGCCAAACATGTGGTAAAAATCAGTACTTTTACGGTTTATCTTTATTGAAAATAGAAATAGCTGAAACTTATATATAATACAAATTGTTTCAAAAATATTTCTTACAGTTCAAGTAAATATACATACGTTTTTTTAATGCCACTCACGTTTAAGAACTGAAAGCATTAAAAAGGTAGGCATTTTCCAAGGTTCCATTTGTTTCCCTGAACATTTTTTTTAATGACATGACATTTTTTTTCACTTTTAAAACTTCAGTTGTCGAAAAACAACAAATGCAATTCACAAAGCCTTTGAAATTCACATGAAAATTTCAAACAATGAACACTTAATCGTTAATTATGATTTTGTTGTATTAAACTTAAAAAAAAAATATTTGTTGATATTTAAAATCAATAATTTATTAGTTTTTTGAACTCCTTTGATGCTTTGATGGAACACAAATTCGTGGAAAACCATAAACAGATTATAATGTCTAAAATTGTAGTAAATAACGTATACGCCGTGTCGTCCTCAATTTAAACTGTTACCCGCTATAACATGCATAAACATGCATCTACATTGTAATTTTCGTTGCAAATAGAAATTTCTGCTTATATATGTAAAATACAGTTATTTATATATTTATTAAATATAATAAATTGTAATTCATAATAATTGCAGTTTATTTAACGGTTCAGCACCGTTGGCCAAATTATTGGCTAAGAATGTGGCGATAATTAACATTAGTTATGCATAACAAAAGCAATAATAAACACACACGCACATTTATACACCAAAATTAGGCTTTTCACACGATTTGTGAATAATTGCCGCGCGCGTGCAATTGTTTAAATAAACAACAACAACCATAAAAACACTTCAAACTATTGCACTGCAAAAAAAAAAAAAAATGAAGCAATAATGAGAAGCGGCAACTAATTACTAACGCACACACATGCCGCCAAACACTCACACAGCGAGCGCTTAAATTAGTGACAATAATCGCACAAAGCAAACAAAAATAAATAAATAAACACGTAAACAATGGTGTTGGCTCACCATGCGTTTATGTACATATATGCGAATAAATATATGCATTTATATGAAATTAAATATATAAACATGTATTTGTATAAATAATACATATGTATGTATGCGTATGTATGTATATGTATGGGATAAACGCATTATATTGGCACGCCTAGTAGGAAAAATGTTCAACATGAGCGAAAATAAATATTGAAAAAGTTGTGGAAGCGTAAATCGTTAACATTGTTTTTATTAAGGATGTATGAAAATATTTTCCCCCCAAAGTATACCTCTTTGTGATGTATAGTAGAAACCAATGCTAAAATTTGCCAAACCTTGCAGAGTAGCGAATAGAACAAACAACTGGCAAAACAAATTATGGATATAAATGAAAAAGTCATTACTTAAATAATGTATCCAAACGCTTTCTTGCATTACATTCAATTGTCTAATTTTGTTATTGTTTTTATACCGTTTGATTAAATCTCACCCGGACACTACTTCAATAGAAATCTTTATTATCGCCTTCAAAATAAGCTCATTTGAGCCTATACTTTACCAGTGGTCAATTAAATTTTCCATACCCTTTCTATACATCTTGGCTGAGATGGACTTCAGTGCCTTCAGCGAATTTTGGTTTTTAGCGTTAGGCAGTCGATTGTTTCGACGTCTTAATCATAAAGCCAAGTTACATAATGAAGTGTTTAATGAATGTAGAATCCTTTGCTATATTGTCAAGCATTCGTTTTAGCGACCGCAACTCGACGTCGTTTGCGCAAACGATTCACGACACGCTTCATACCCAAAAGATTAACCAAAATAGTTGAATCGATTTATAAGAGATGTTGAGACGTATTTTATACGTTTTTATCATAATTTCAATAATTTTCGTAATCGATTATGAATAATATTACTTTCTTAATGCTTTACTTTAATTTAAACAAACAATCTGATCGCACAATACATATATGAAGGTATAAAAAAGTTAGGGTCCGTAATGAACAAAAATTTAAAGTTTCAATCGAACGAGGCAAAAATTTTTACATAAAAAACTATTATATAAAACCTTAATTCGGACATATATATGTTTAAACGATGTTGGTATTTTTTGAAAATAGTTAAACTGAAAAAAAGCAAAACCATGGGAATTCATAAAATATTCCAGAAGTGCCGAATTCAAAAATTTTCTGACAAGGGCTACCACATATCGAAAAAAGTGAAACGGCGCAAGATATTTCCAATGTGTTAAATATAATGCATTTAGGAATATATTCCAAAAAAATATACAAGACATTTTTAATTAAACAGAGGAGTCGCCTTGCCACATATGTCAAATGGAGTACGGTATTACCAGAAGTATGTCAAAGGAAACCTTTAGTAAAGTATTCCGAAAGTCTTCAAATTCAATATTGCAAACCTTAAGGAGCTTAAGCTCTCTGAAATATGCAAAAGGTCTAATAGAATGAAATCAAGGAAGGAATTGCCACTCTGATGGAAACTCTGGACCCTATTGGCAAAAAACTCGGGTAGTCATCACTTGGTGCAAAGACCGGCCTATAAGGTAGATGCATAGGAACCACCCAACGAAACTTCCGGAGCTTTTGGCGTGTCATTTTTGATGGGTGTGGCCTGGCATTGTCCTCATGGATCACAACTCTTCTCATTTGGCCAAAGCTGGTCGCTTCTGTATGATTATCTCCTTCAGATGGTTCCATTGTTGACATTGCATCAGGTACAATATAAAAGTTTTCCAAAAAAAAGAACTAAAATAAAAGTTAGTCGTTAGATAAAAAAATAGACTTACTATAGTCTAAATGTACAAGAGAAAGTGATGTAGTGTTTAAAAGTGAAAGATCACAGTTCCAATTGAGAAGAAAATAAATAATATTTATGATGTTAATATATACTTGTATGGTAAGTTCCTACAGGGACGTCACTAGTCATATAAATTTATTATGCTCACGAAACGTGCAGAAAAAAAAAACAACAATAATTGCTAAAATTTACAAGGGTCGCTTAAATTTAATGCGAAACACATTAATAAATTCACACCAAATGCGTAGGCACACTTCCACACACACATACATACATACATATGCATGTATATGAGAATGTGTACGCAATTGCAGTTACGCACATTAGTTAATTCGCATTAACATATGCACAGGCGCCTATGCAGCCCTTGGCGATAGGCTTATTCCTCCACATTACGAGTACATTCAGGCACACATACATTTGTATATTTGTTTGTATATATTTGTATGTTGCCACAGCCACTCGCTGGTACGTGCCCGTTGCGCCTTATCAGCGTCAATTTGTTCACACTTGTCGCGCTCGCTGGGAGGTCACGCGGCATTGGCGTTTCGAGGCAATTGGGTACGCGCTGGTTGACAACGGAATGCTCGCATACTCACAGGCACACACAGAGTTGTATTGGCATGGGCTTGATTTATGTGGCATACAGCAATGGTAGACAACAGCGATTTGCAACATATGGAAAGTGTTTAATTAGCGAAATTTAAAATTTATGAACTCCACTAACGAAAGTGACCAATTTGCTAACAGAATTGCTACAAATACACAATTTACATATGTACGTATGTATGTGTGTTTATATGTACATGGAAGACGCTTATACTGAATGTTTATTAAAACTATCGCGCGTTCGATGAAAGCGTAGTAGTATTTACAATAATAACGGAAATTGGAACGATTATGTTTATAATTCGTTTTTTTATGGTTTATTTCAAAACTTTAGCTTTTTGGAATTTACCTTTTAATTTTTTTAAAATAATTAATGATTTGTTTGAATACTTTAGATTAATTAAAAGTTCGTTTTAATCAAGCAGAGTTGATTTACCCATTTCAGTCTGTCTGTATATACTCGTGCTAGTCCCTCAGTTTTTGAGATATCGATCTGAAATTTACACAGGTCCTTTTCTCTCTACGAAGTTGCTCAGTTCAAGGAACCGCCGATACTGGACCACTAAATCATATAGCTGCCATACAAACTAACCGATCAAAATCAAGTTCTTTTATGGATATATTTTTTATTGGAGAAGGGTGACTTGTTTGGTTGCAGGGTTATAGCGGAATCTGCTCGACTCTACAAAGCTGAGAACCTTGCTAGAGAGGGTTGCCTTACCCCTTATTCATCAGAGTGGCAATGTCCGTACCGTTATCCTCTTGTGCTCTAGCGTTGGATCTATGGACCTCATGTGGGCTTGGTAAGCGCTGGTCAAAAGCCAAAATCTCTGAACTACTTGCTCTTAGCTAGGCTCGTCTCGCCACCATCATAGCTGTGTGGAAGAAGGCGAAGTGAAATCATCTAGAAACTTTAGTTTCAACTGTCTAGCTTTTGCCAGACTGAAGTTGAAACATCTTGGTAGAAGAACTTTTAGCGAACTTGCGAATGTTTTCCTTGTTCTTTTTTTCAAATTTTGTATCTTAACAATTTTTAAATTTCGTGAAAAAGTAATTATTAAAAAATTAAAGCATTATTTTTTGTTCTTAAAAAGATTTTATATAATTAATAATTTATAAATATATTTTATATAGAAAATTTTTATATGGCAATATTTTCAAAATAGTTTTAAATATTGTATTTTAAACTAAGTCTTCTTTTTATTAATTTGTTTGAACTGAACTTTTCCAATCAATCCAAGTGAAACAATCATAATCACATTTAGTCTTCTTGTACATTGGTAAAAGTTACAGAAATATCACATTCCACTTAAAAATCTCTCCACAATGCAATCGCCAAGTGCCTACCAGCGAAAGTCAAATCTGTACACACGCAGATATTTATTGCAGCAAAAAAAAAATATGGTGAAAGTCAAGCAAACGCCAGCTAATAAACCTAATTCATGCAGAAAGTATTTGTTTGGTTTCTTCAATAATTTTACATATGTACCCACATGCATACATACATATAAATTTATATTCATGACTAGCGCAGTGGCCCACTGTATAAATTGCGGTTGTTGTTGTTGTTGTTCGAATTGTGGTTATTATTTATGTTGTTGCTTTTAATGTTGCCAATTTGATATAATTGTGCGGTAAGCGATAATTTGCACTGCTGTGTTGCAAATAACTGGAATTAAAGCGGTATTTTCATGCAGTAAAGCGTCCGGATGTTTTCCTAAAATTAATTTATTTCGACATTAACGTCTGACCAATGAGAACAGATATTGCATATAACAGAATGTTGGCATTTTCACTCTCATTTAATTTATCCAGTACCGCTATGTATATTTTAGGTTTATTAAATACCAGAAATTGTTTTTTTTTATCATTTCTTGGCTTGCTAAAGGGGCTCTATTCACTATTTATACTACTATTACAATTGTTTAATAAAATGCTAATTGCTAATAAACTTTCAGATAGTTTAAGAAAAATTATATATTTTGCACTCTGCTAAACCTCTCCAAATAATATAAAGAATATTGTCTTCTTTTACAACTCTGTTTTCTAGCTGTCATGGATTTTTTAGGCTGACCTAATTTTATATTGCCTGCCTTATTGATTTTTCACATTTCTATATAACAGTTTCGACGTCATATTCATAAACTCACGTCTCGTCAGCAGTAATGATGCGTGTGATGAATGCAGGGTCCTTAACTACGCTGTCAAGTATCTTATACAAGTATCTTTATACCCAAAATATTAAACGAAATGTGTTGAATCGTTCCATAAGGGATGTTGATATCCTCAGCTAACTTCCTGACCTCAACACGACGATTACTAAGCACTGTTGCTTTAACTGTTTCGATGTTATCGTTAAAAACAGAGGTTATCTTTATTAATAGAGGGTGATGGACGACTCGAATGAGGCAAGTTTTCGATGACTTCGCGATCTTCACTGAATACTTGCCACTCAAATATTTAAGTTCGTGAGAAAGTAAACTTCCCAAAACACTTCTGCAACATTTTTAGTGATTCCATTGAAAACACAAAACCTTAAGCAAAATCTTTATATATTTTTTCAATAATAAAAATCGCCACACAAACTTTTCGAATTGATTTAAATTTCTTTTTTCTAAATTTTTGTAAAATTTTTACGTACATTTGTTAGTACGATAGGGACATATGTAAGTATGTAGAGTAGACTCACACTAAATTTCAAAAGTAAATTGGTTGAGTAGAACTTGTGCAATCTTGGCATATTTTTCAAGGGTTAAGCTTTAAAATTATGAAAAAAAAATAATTTTGAAAATTTCTACAATTTTATCCGAACTATTGTCAATACGAATTTTCATAAGCATGGGTTTACACGATTGTGATTCATTTTATAGTCATAAACTGAAATCTGAACTAAATTACGGAATATTATAAGCATTATCAAAATCCGGGCGAGAGAGCAACATTATCTTATTCAATTTATTCTTTTTGTACCCTGAAGTTTGTAACACCCAGAAGGAAACGTCTGAGACCCTATAAAATTTACACATAAATGATCAGAATGATGAGCTGAGTTGATATTTGTGAAGGGTATTATAGCTTCGGTGCAACCGAGGTTAACGAGGGACGCTTAGCTCAGAATCAGGACTGCCCCGGCCAAACCGGGACAAAAGGTCAGCTAAATTTAAGAGCTTATATGATTGAATTTCCATATAGCAATATCGAATACATAAAATAATATTTTCTGTCTCCTAAAGGTCATTCAAATAAGTTTTTTTTTCCCAGCCCACAATACTTTTATTTTTACATTATATGGGATGACCATAATATCCTAACCTAATTTTGGGAATTTGGCAGATATATAGCTTGACTTTGCCTCTGTCATCTAAAATGAACTTTCGATATCCAAGCACCTTGTAAACTGTTGTCACAATATTAAATAAATTATTACATATATTTTTGAAGTGATAATTGATACATATCTATAAAAGATTTTATTGAAATTACTTTATTAAAGTTTAAATTTCACTTCAATTGAACTTTGGCGCAATTAAGGGTCTACACTGTTCAGCAAGTGACGGACAATTATTGCCTCTGATTTGGTTGACTTATTAAAAATTAACATTTTAAATATTTCTGCCACAATCATTTATTTTCGAACACAAACCGACACACATACATACACAGTTATCTGACTGCAGTGGTTTTATGATTTTATATTTATTTTTTGCCGTTAGCATTAAAAACTCTCAACTCCCTTCCATATGCTGCTGCTCTTTAACAGTTTATGTATTTATGAACAAGCGCACATACACACACACGCGTACGCATACATAAATACATACAAATGTATATTTATTTAAGTTTTTTTAAATTCAATGGATTTTTTGTTTGTTTCATTTTATTTTCATTGCTGTCAGGTGCTTTGACTGGTACTGACTTTGCGGTTATTGCCCTCGCTTAAAAATGGAGTCAGTCATGTTGGTGTGTGGCTTAACAGCTAGTAATTATGCGTTCGTTTGCCATTTAGATATTTTAAAGATCGATAAAGGCTTTTAAACATTAATAGCAAGCAGAGATAAATCTCTAAGTTTATTATTGACTTCCATTCTTCTAATTCATTTGATAATTGTTTTACCGGCAGCAAATTTTGTTCGAGAAGTGCGGCCTAAACCTTTCATTTTACTTGTATGTAGTAGCTATTTACGTGCGCCACACAATCCCATTATTGCCATTATCAGTGTTATCATTATTTGTGTTGCTTTAGGCTGTGTTGCGCGTGTGCAGCACTTTCATTTGCAATAAATTTGTATTTTTTTTTGAGTAATAATTAAATCATTTTAATGCAGGTATTAAATTTTTAACTCTTTCTTCGTTTAATTGAATTTTTAAGTAGATATGGTAGTGATGACGCGTCATATCGCAATAATGTTAATTGTTATGATATTGTGACATCAATATGTACAACTATTGTTACTATTAGTATTACTACTTTTACATAGAGTTTTCATTGTGACTTACTCACTTTATGCTGTTGACGTGTTTTTGAAAGCTGTATTTGATGGAAAGTAAGAATTTAAGTTTCCAGCTATATAGATATATTCATCGATATCATGTTTAGGCTTATTTGTATTGATTTATAGGTTTGATTCAATATTTATTTTTTCATCAGTATGAAAGTTGTTTCTTTTAAACTAACCTCAATCAGCACAGCATTATGATTAGACTTAACAATATTTTCTGGCCTCTTTTATAGCAACGTTATGACCTTTGGTTTCAATGCCATAACTATTGAGCTATTGCATCGCTTCTATCGCGGACTTTGAGCGCGGGGACTGAATCAAGAAATTCCGTAACGGAAATAAACCTAACACGATCACAAAGTATGCTCAAAATTCTTGCATACTTTAAGGCGTATTTTCGCATATCTCAAGCGGTACAAATCATTTTAAGAGCAGGGTGATTCAAAATAATAATATTTAAGATACAGTTTTTTTAATGGCAATATAAAAATATGGAATTTAATAAAAAATGAGTTATACAATATTCGGAGTCATAATATTAGTAATATTGTTTTCATTTTGTTAAATAGCTACCCCACCTTTTGGAACAGGATAACAATACAATAAAAGCAAAAAAATATTTTTTAATCGATCACCACGCTCAAAAAGTGTAACTTGAATTAATATTAAAAAAAAAATACTGCATAAAAACTCAATCAATAATTTTAATTGCATAAGTTGATAAAAAAGTGCTATGCAGTAGCTTTACCGCGGCAGTGCCCGAGTGCCACACGGACCATGAGGTTTTTTTGCATTAACTCGTATGACACCAATACATCGAGCTTCTTCTTGTATCCAACCTTATTTAAATGGTTCTCTTAGTACAGTTTAAAAAATTTGAGTATCATCATTTTATTTGACTTTGCGATGGAAGAAAATTACAATTAATAATATTAGATATGTGATTGTGCTCTTTTAAAAATAAGCGAAATTGCCTTTTATATTGTCTTCATTTCATATACCGAAAACAATTATTATCCGCCTTTTGTTTGAGCTTTTACCAAATATATCATAATATCTGCGATATACATATATATATTTAGGTAAGCATGTTGTATGTATGAAATTGGGAAGGTATTAATCTCATAAGCCTTCTTATGGGTAATAAATAATTTTCGTTTCCCTGGTTGATGTTTAAGAAAAAAATGAAATATATTTCGAATAAAATATTTAGTACCCAACATTAACGGCATTGTCTCATAGTCCACTATTTAATATTAAATAAGTGTTCATAAATTTATCCAGGTATTTAATTTTGTCTGTATTAATACGTATTTACTTATTGTTGCCATAAATTCTGTTACAAAGTTTACACATGCTACAGAGTAGAATAGTTTTGTTCATCTAACGGTTGTTTGTATCACCTAAAACTAAGAAAGATATGGAGTTATGTATATTTAAATGATTAGTATGATAAGACGAGTTGAATTTCAAGTGACTGTCTGTCTGTCCGTCGGGCAAGCGATAATTTGAGTAAAATTTGAGATATCTCGATGAAACTTGGTAGACATGTTCCTTGACACCCAAGGATGTTGGTATTGTAGATGGGTGTAAATGGACCATTGCCACGCCCACAATCACCATTAATCGAAAATCAACAAATTGCCAGAACTAAATCTGTTATTTAGTACAACGAATTACATTAGGAAGGTGTATCCATGGTTCCAACTATTTTAAAAAGTGGGCGTGGCTCCGGTTCTTGATAAGGTCTTGATTAACCAAATTCACTGAGATAAATCTTTTAGGCATTCCTACCTCCCCTGTAGAAATGGGGCAATTGAATTATAACCCCGCCCACTCCCCGTATAACGGGTTTGTTAAAAACTACTTAATGTGCAATAAGTTTATAACTAAATAGATCAGATACTTGGAGGTCAGAGACATAAAATTTTACATCCAAGATGGTATGGGAGGGCTTTATAGGAGCCCTAAGTGAAATCTATGAGCTTTTCAAATACTTTCATATTTCGAGAATGTTTGTCCCAAGTACCTATAGTTGATGACAGAAAGAGAAATGGATGCCGTCATGTAATTCGAACCAATTCAGCCATGAAAGCTGTTCGCGAACGTATTCGCAGAAACCATATGTCAATGGATATGGATATATCGACTAGATTAATGTCAAGGCATATATGAAATCATCTCCACATGAAGTCCAACTGGTCTGCCAACGCGCTTGAACCAAATTAGACTCAACAGATATAAGCGACTTCTTCAGGGGAACCTTGTAACAGATGAAAAAAACTTCCCTGCCGGCTTCAACGTGCTTACCATTCAGCTGCTGTAATGGTTTGGTGGGAAGTCTCTTGTAATAGCGTTATACCTCCTCACTTCTGTGAAAAAGGGGTTAAAACTGATGCAAAAGTGTACCAGCAGAATGTTTTAGAAGGCGTGACAAAGCAGCCAACTAATACTCTCTTCAATGGAGAGCATTGGATCTTCCAGCAAGTTCTGCTCCAACACGCAAGGCAAAACCACTCAGCAGTGGCTTAAAAGCAATATTCCTAGCTTCATAGCTGCAGATGACTGGCTGTCTGGAAGTCCGGATTTGAATCCATTGGGCTACAATTTGTGACCAGGGTTGGAGAACATGGCATGTGGAATACCTCACAGAAATTTGGAGAGGCTCAAAAAAACTTTGGTTCCAACAGCGTCCGCAATACCAACAGGAAATGTGCGTAGTGTTATTGATCAATACCCGAATCGTTTTAGGGTTTGTGTGAAACTAAAAGGTGACCATTTCCAATAAAATTACTTTATATTGCTAATTTCATATATGCATAAAATTAACTTTATTAAAAAATGTATTATACTTTCATATTTATAAAAGCCTGAACTTGTAACAGAACTTATGGCAGCACTAAGTATATGTTTATCATAGACGTATGTAAGAAGAAGTACTCACTTCTACTGGAACTCATATCTGGAAAATTTGCATAGTTTTAATGTCATAACAGCATTGCACTTTCCAACGCTTTATTCAAAAAGCACCGACAACCATTCACAAATCCACTTTAGGAGGGGTAGGCAGAGGTTAAGCGAAAGTTGCGCCCATGTTGATCTTTTCATTAA